CTCCCCCAGGCAGCAGTGGCCATTGCTCCTCTGGGTCTGGGCTAGAGCCAGCCTGCGTCCCTTAGTTCCTTGTGCCTCAGGCTCTGCCGGTCGCCGTCCTTGGCAGGCCAGAGCTTTCCAGGTTTGGGGGAACACTTGTGCATTTATTTCTTTGCTCGGGTTTCATCACTAGTATGCCATGCCTTTATACACATCATTCCCTAGCCCTACCTTTATCTTAAACAGAAACAACCATTTTTAACGCACTGGGAAGCAGGTGACGACGAACCATTCCCAGCAGCAGGGGGCCTACAGTTTGTGTGAAGGCTGTGCGCAGTGGGCGCGTAACCCTCCAGTTTCAGGGTCCCTCCAGGTTAGTGGGTTTTCCAACTAGACTTCCCTTCGACCAGCGCCGGGGCCCCTTCTTGCCTTTGTTCTAGCGGCTGTGTCTCCACACAGCCGAAGAAAGGGCTGGAGCACCTGCGGAGGAGCCAGGAGACGGGCTCGTCGGCCCCGCTCCGGCCTGTAGCTCCCGCCACGGTTCATCGGCCAGGCGCCCCGACAAGCCCATCTCCCGGCGCGCTGCCCTCACCTGCTCCCAGGTCGGGACGAGCGCTCGCGCCTGGCGCGGGACCCGGGCACCCACCACGGGGCGGACCTCCGCCGCTCGGCTCCTCGGGCGGGCCGCCCGGCACCAGTGGCACCGGCCACCGCTGGCCTACGTAGGAGCGCGTCGGCGCAGGCGCCTTCCAACCGGCTGCTCCCTGGTCCCCGCGGCGCCCGTAGTTTGGTTTTCCGATTGACACGTTCGCGGAGGGCGGGGAGGAGGCGGGACTAGGTGGGCTGTGGGCCCTTAAAGGGTCCGAAGTTCGGAGGTGGCACCGCTGGAGGCAGCGCGGACGCGCGATCGTAGGCAGGTTGGAGAAGGAGTGCGGGGCCGGACGGGCGGGCTCGCGAGGGGCCGGTGGTCCGCGGGGAGCGGGGGAGAGTTTCGGGGGCCGGGCTGTGCCGCCAGCGCTCGCCCCGTGGCGCCCAGCTCCCGCTGCCGTGGCTGGGGTGGCCCGGGGTCATTCATTCCCAGCCTGGGGGCTCCTGGCGCGGCCGGCTCCTAGCCGGGACCCAAATTCCTGCCGGGGACCCAGCGCCCCCTCCCACCCCGGATGCAGGCTGGGGAGACCAAGGACGCGACAGCTGAGCTGGGTCGCCCCGCCGGCCGGTACGGGCTGACCGCTTCACCAACCTTTCTGCCTCTCAGGGCACCCTCCGCGAACACTTTCTGGGGCTCCGCACAGTGCGCGGACCTCGGCGGAGTGAGGGCGGGGGAGGGGGAGGTTCGGCATCCGGGGCAGAGTCCAGCGGGAAGCAGTGGGTAAAGGACTAAATGCTTGGGCGAGGGGCTGGCGTGAGAGCCTGGAGATCCGGATTCTAGCCCAGCTACCACAAGCTGTGACCGCAGGCAAATTACTTATCTCCCTGACTTTACTATCCCTGTCTGTGAGGCGCCAGTGATAATATCTGCCTCATCAGGGTGCTGGGGGAACTCAGGAAAATAATGCAAAAATGCGCCCGGAACAGGGAGGCCGCTCAGCCAAGTTGGTTGGAGCTGGATGAGCCCAGGAGGCATTGGAGGCAGCCTGGCAGGAGGCGGCTGCGGGCCAGGCCTCCCCCGTGAAAGGCCTCAGTGTCTGGAGCTTCCTTCTCCCTCCATCCCCCCTGCGCTGAGTTTGCTCAGGGCGGGGTGCACACCTTGCAGTGGAATGGATGCCAAGGCCACGTCTTCACCGGCCAGCTCAGTGAGGACTACAGTTGGGCGGGATCCTTAGCTCCAAACCCGAGTGATCTGGCTGGCCGGCCTGGGGTGGGGTGGGGCCACCGCCAGGACAGCGGTGCTGCAGCCCCAGAGCTGGGCTCAGCTGCCTGGCAGAGGACCCCACCCTGAAACCACCTGGTAATTTCCTGCTTCCTCCCAGCTGACCCCTGAGGGAGTAAGTCAGGGGGGCTGAGTACAGCGAGGGCCCAGGAGCCAGATTGCACATAAGTGATCTCCAAGGCCTCAGGCCAGAACATGATGGTATCCAGACTTGGACCAGGGCTGACGCCAGAGCCACCCTATTAACTAGGACACACTACCGCTCCCCTCCGAGGCCAGACTCCAGTTGGAAGGCTGAGTGCCCAGCCTCAGCCACCTCTGAGGCTCTGTGTTCTGGTCCAGGTGCAATGGCAGAAAAGGTGCTGGTAACCGGTGGGGCTGGCTACATCGGCAGCCACACGGTGCTGGAGCTGCTGGAGGCGGGCTACTCACCCGTGGTCATCGACAACTTCCATAATGCCATCCGCGGTAAGTGTGGGGTGGGGCTGGGCTTCTGGAGGGGACGGAAGGAAAACCCTGGGTACCACCTCCAAGGGGGGTGTATCTGGCTAGTCTCCAGGCCCCATCTCTGATTTTGATGGCCTGTGTGTCCGACCAGGAGCGGGGTCCATGCCCGAGAGCCTGCGGCGGGTTCAGGAGCTGACAGGCCGCTCTTTGGAGTTTGAGGAGATGGACATCTTGGACCAGGCAGCCCTGGAGAGTCTCTTCAAGAAGGTGGGGGGCTTGGAAGGTAGGCAGGGGGCACTGCTGAGGGCCGGGCCCTTTAAAGCAAGCTCTGACCCTGCTTGTCCCCGCAGCACAGCTTTACGGCGGTCATCCACTTTGCGGGGCTCAAGGCCGTGGGCGAGTCAGTGCAGAAGCCTCTGGATTATTACAGAGTTAACTTGACAGGAACCATCCAACTTTTGGAGGTGAGACGTGGGGCAAGGACAGACACTGGGAGGGCCCCTAGCCTGGTGGGCAGTGCCAAACAGTGGGTAAGGGGGTAGAGTCAGGCAGGCCCAAAGCTGTACCATCTTGGACACGTCTACCTCTCCGCCTCAGTCTCCCCATCTGTACATGGGAGTGCCCGTACCTCAGCCCCACCCACCTGTGAAGGAGTAGGGGGGCTGGGAATAACTGATACCGCCCCCCACGGCCAGATTATGAGAGCGCACGGGGTGAAGAACCTGGTATTCAGCAGCTCGGCTACCGTGTATGGGAACCCCCAGTACCTGCCCCTGGACGAGGCCCACCCCACCGGTGGCTGTACTAACCCCTACGGCAAGTCCAAGTTCTTCATCGAGGAAATGATCCGGGACCTGTGCCAGGCAGACAAGGTGAGGGCTCCCCTTGACCCCCCCTGGCTCTGCCCCCATGAGCCTGCTGTGAGCCTACAGATGGGATTCTAAGCAACCCCCACCAAGGAGGACGCTAGAGCTCAGGAAGCAGCAGTGACGGCGCAAGGTCACAGCACCTGGGAAGGGTCGATCCCCCTGCTCCTTGCCAGGGACAGGGAATAGGCACAGGGGGACATCAGAGGTAAAGGCCTCTGCACTGAGCTGGGACACAGCCTGTACCCTCACCCCCCCTCACCCCCATCCTCTGACCTGTGTCCCGCAGACCTGGAATGCAGTGCTGCTGCGATATTTCAACCCCACAGGCGCCCACGCCTCGGGCTGCATTGGTGAAGATCCCCAGGGCATCCCCAACAACCTCATGCCCTATGTCTCCCAGGTAAGGGAGAAGGGGAGGGAGCATTTCCTCAGCCCCTAGAGGTGAGGGGCACAGCTGGTGTGGGGGGAAGAGCTGAGCTGATCTCCACCCCAGGTGGCCATTGGGCGACGGGAGGCACTGAATGTCTTTGGCAACGACTACGACACAGAGGACGGCACAGGTGAGCCCAGGGTCAGGGTTCAGGAGTGGGAGCCACGAGGGAGATGGAAGTGGGATAGACTGTACTGAACCCTCCCACCCAACCCCTCCTCTGCAGGCGTCCGGGACTATATCCACGTAGTGGATCTGGCCAAGGGCCACATCGCAGCCCTGAGGAAACTGAAGGATCAGTGTGGCTGCCGGGTAGGGAGAAAGAAGACGTGGGGAGGGGAGAGAGGTGGAGTCCTGGGCAAACGGGGGACAAGAGCGGTGGTTAGTCCCGCCCTCTCCACATACCTATTCTCTCCTGGGCAGATCTACAACCTGGGAACCGGCACAGGCTATTCGGTGCTACAGATGGTCCAGGCCATGGAGAAGGCCTCCGGGAGGAAGGTAGACCTACCCTGCCCCGTCCCACCTGACTCTCAGCAGTATACCCGGCCCCTCCCACTAGCCTACCCGAGGGGCACTGCATCTACTCACCTGCTTTAGCGCTATGTGCCTTCGAGAGAGACCCTGCCCTGCAGCCCCGCACCTCCATTTCTTGAGGTCAGCAGCTGGCTGGGTGAGGCCGGGGCTGCAGCTGTCCCCTCTCTTGCAGATCCCGTACAAGGTGGTGGCACGGCGGGAAGGTGACGTGGCTGCCTGTTACGCCAACCCAAGCCTGGCCCTCCAGGAGCTGGGCTGGACAGCAGCCTTAGGGCTAGACAGGATGTGTGAGTGCTAGCCCAACCTGTGGGAGAGAGCTAGGGGCTAGGAGGGGCTGACTGGGTCTGGGTGTGCCTACACTGGGCTACCCGAGGTGGTGGGGCCCTGCATTCCAATGTGGACCCTGACCGCACACCTTGCCCTATCACAGGTGAAGATCTATGGCGCTGGCAGAAGCAGAATCCTTCCGGCTTTGGCGCACAGGCCTGAGACCCTCCGACCACAGACAGAAAACAGAAACAACTGCTGCTCTCCAGCATCTGGCAGGACCCAGGGGCCTCAGGGCCTGCCCTACCTCAAACCCCAGCCAGGCCCGCCCAGCCCACAGGCATGAGGCCAAGGGCTCTGATGATGAGGAGTCAGTGGTCTCTAACTCTTCTCTTCCCCAGGGGCTGGGAGCCCATCAGGATCACCAAGAGCGAGGGGGGAGGCAGGGTCCTGAGCCCAGCACCCTACTCCCAGGCACTAATTTATACTGCTGTGAAGGCACTCTCCAAAGTATTTAAAATAAAAGGTTTTCTTACACTGGAGCATTTTCTCACACACGGTCTCTCCCTCCCACTTGAATAGAATCAGACAGGCCTGAGAGTTGAAGCAATTTCTTTAATTTTATCGGAATCCAGGACACAACAAGAAAAACACCTGAAACCACATGGAGACAGAAGACGAGACACAACTTCTCCCTACCTCCCCTGGCCCTAGAGTGGGGACAACATGGGGTGACACAGCTGGGGAGACCTTGAGCCTCAGTCCAGCCCTGCAGGCTCCAGGCCTGCGGGGGAGGAAGGTAATGGGGAGGCAGGGCCCAGCCCCCAAACCAGAAAGGGCTGAAGAAAGGCCCCCTCCAAGGACTCTGCCCCTCACCAACATTGCTGCCCGGGCCAGTAGCCACAGCAGCAGGGGCATGGGTCACGGACACATTCATGACTGAGAAGCAGCTGGAGTGGAGAGACGCACGATTATCTGGGCAAACTCAGTTGGGAGGGGGTAGATGGGGACTGGGAGGGCCCCTTGGGCCAAACCCTGAGGTCACAGGAGGGGGCCCAAAGCGGGGCTAGTGAGTGAGGTCCTGAGTGAGTGGGTCAGCGGCTGGGCCCCTTCTCCCGCTGCCTACAGCCCCTCCAATACTGCTGCCAGGGGCCCACCTTCAGGAAAATGGGAGAAAGCAGCCCAACCCCTGCTGCTGACAGCCAGGTGGCTAAAGCCAGGAAGGAAGGCCTGGCTAGACCTGGGCCTGCCTGCCTCAGAGGCCCGTGGGAAGAGGATGGGTCAGGGAGGGTGGGGACCGGGGCCCGACCGGCTCAGATCCAAGATGGTGCCACACGTGCTGGGTCCCCTGTGAGCTGGGGGCCAGCCACTCTGGTTAGACAGGAGGCAACAGCTTCTCCAGAAACTCCTTCACGGCCGCCATCTCCTGCGGGGAGGGCGACTGTCAGAGGCTCCGGTTGGAGGGAGGAAGGAAGGAGGGGTAGGAGCAGGAAGCGGCCCTTTACCACTGACCTGAGGACAGGAGCCGTGCATGACACCTGGGTAAGTCTTGAACTGGACCCTGGCAGGTGTGACAACGGACCGGAGCTTCTCAGCTGTCAGGGCCCCAAACCGTACGGGAATCATGGGGTCCAGCTCCCCATGGCACTGAAGGATGGCCAGGTCCTTGGCATTGCCATTGGCTGCCTGTGGGCCAGACAGGACTCGAGGCAAAACCAGTGCTTCAGCACAATCCCCATGCCAGCAGGAGACGCCCAGGGCAGGAGAGGGGTCATGGAGACACTCACCTGGGGGAAGGCCCGGTGCAGAGGCAGCCAACAGCTCAGCGCCACAATGCCAGCCAGAGGATGCGGGCAGGTGAGGGCCGTGTAGAGGGACAGGGCCCCACCCTGAAGGAAGGAGACAGTAAGTCATGAGGGCACAACTCACCTACCCACTAGCCACCACCCTCCCTCTCCCCTCACCTGTGAAAAGCCTCCCAGGACGATCCGATTGGCAGGGATCCCATTCTTCATCTCGTGCTCAATCAAGGCCTTTACTGGGGGGAGGGGGCATGACTGGGTGAGGAAAGCGCTGGAGGGGCCCCCAGGAAAAGAACCAGACAGAGGTGCTGCCCAGCGCTTTCCTGGAGGCGTGGGGGTGGGGCAGAGCGAGCATGCTGAGGGGCTGGGGCCTTACTGTTCTCTGCTGCCTTCTTGATGCCAGCCTCGTCCTCAGGGGCATCTGGACTCAGCCCCATCAGGTCAAACCTGGGAAAGTAGAGGCACTGGCAGCTGCAGGAAGACCCCAGCCAGCCCCTACAACCCCCTCAGCTCCCACTGCCCGTCTCCAAACTCACCAGGAGGGCATCACCATCTTCATGTTGAGTGTCACGGGGATCCGAGGCCTGGGGAGACCACAAGAAGGGCCGTCATGCTCCAGAGGGATGAGAAAGCCATAGCAGTGATCCCAGGAGGGGGCAGAGCAGCCCCTGGGGGCCCCTCCCAGCAGGCAGGGCCTGTGTTTAAGGTGTTGCCAGGCAACCTGCCACCACGTGGGGCTGGAAGCTGTGGTTAAAGCATCAGCAGTAGAGATGGAGAAGCAGAGCCCAGCACTCAGCTTGCCGGGGTTCCAGCTCGGCTGGTGAGTACTTGGGGAAGGGGAACAGGGGGTCCTGGTTCTAGGAGATCTCAGGTCTAGGAGGCCTTGGCTGAGGGCTGGGCCCCATTCCTGGAGGCTCCACAGGAGTAAAGGCTGAAAATGGCACTTCCTGCCCAGGCCCCAGGATGCGTGGGCAGGAGAGAACAGACCTAGGACCACAGGATCAACCCCCTAGCTGATT